GTTGACTTTTTGGCCTATAAGGAAAATTTTAATGATTTTTCTTCATACACAATGACTTGTTTCTATATATTAAATTTACTGCTGAAAGTAAACAGGAAGTGCCCCTTCCTGTTTATTGGATACATAGAGCAACTGGCATAAGACACATTAAAGGAGGAGTGACTGAGGTGTGGCTTCACTCCCTCCTACACAGGAGGGGGAGTGACTGAGGTGTGGCTTCACTCCCTCCTACGCAGGAGGGGGAGTGACCGAGGTGTGGCTTCACCCCCTCCCTCTCCTACACAGGAGGGGGAGTGACTGAGGTGTGGCTTCACTCCCTCCTACACAGGAGGGGGAGTGACTGAGGTGTGGCTTCACTCCCTCCTACACAGGAGGGGGAGTGACTGAGGTGTGGCTTCACTCCCTCCTACGCAGGAGGGGGAGTGACTGAGGTTTGGCTTCACTCCCTCCTACACAGGAGGGGGAGTGACTGAGGTGTGGCTTCACTCCCTCCTACACAGGAGGGGGAGTGACTGAGGTGTGGCTTCACCCCCTCCCTCTCCTACACAGGAGGGGGAGTGACTGAGGTGTGGCTTCACCCCTCCTCTCCTACACAGGAGGGGGAGTGACTGAGGTGTGGCTTCACCCCCTCCCTCTCCTACACAGGAGGGGGAGTGACTGAGGTGTGGCTTCACCCCCTCCCTCTCCTACACAGGAGGGAGAGAGACTGAGGTGTGGCTTCACCCCCTCCCTCTCCTACACAGGAGGGGGAGTGACTGAGGTGTGGCTTCACCCCCTCCCTCTCCTACACAGGAGGGGGAGAGACTGAGGTGTATATCACAATATGGAAAATAACCACTGTGTGTTGCATCTTTTGACTACGATTATGCTTTTATATTTGAGAAAGGTTCAAATGTGTTCTAATTATTATATCGCAATCTTCTCCCTTCACAGCTAAAAGGGACAAGGTCTGCTTCATAATATTATCTAACGCTACAAGTACCATGGTATACGATATATGATGTTCAACACCACTGTATATTGTATTTTATTCTGTATTTTGTTAGGCGATCGTAATATTAAGTGTGTGATTTTCACTTGGGGAAACCACTAGTTAGTGCAGGTTACCTGTCAGCAACTTGTCTACCAGTTAAGTCTCGTGATCCCACCTTACGTCGGATCCCCCCTCCTTAGCACTGGCAGTAGGTTCACCCATACACTCCCGAGTAGTACCTTATCTTGTACTCTCACACTTAGTATGGTCTCTGTTTTCTAGAGTTCTCTGTTCATATTCCGATCCCTTGTATAGGAATATCGATAAAATTTCCTGTATGGATTATTTGAATTTCGTGTCTCTGTGAAGACATTGATATGAGTTGTGTTAGCAACGTATCAGTTATTTCATGTCTTATATTGCCTAACTCTAACAGTAGTTGTATATATAACTCTGTCTTTATGTGTAAAGGAGAGAGAGGTAATTTTATGCTCTTTATAAAGATTATGGTTCATAGAGATATGAAGATCCACTCTTAAGTTTTATTAATATTAAAGACAAGGATTTTACTCGTGAGTTTTGGTCATCCTAAAGAAAGTAAGATTAACAAAGAAAGCCTCTTTGGTTAAGAAAGTTATATTTGCCGCAGTAAACCCTTGTTGCTATTGGAGTTCTTCCCTAGACAAAAGCCAACATTCAAACTGATTCCCCAACAAAAGGATTAGTGACCTAATGTAAATCCCTTCTTCCGCAACACTGTGAAAAACAGTAAAATTTCCAAACACTTTTGTGATTTCTCACATTTTCAAGGCCCTGTAAAAATAACAGAACAGCAGAAGGCTTATAAGGCCTCACATGTGACCTCACACCTGACCCAGAATGCTGAGTGTGGGAATGTAGTGAAGATTTGGTCAGGTTACGTGTCAAGTAGAATTTATGAGTGACATCTCAGGTATAGCTTAAATCCCTCACAAAGTCTATTAATATTAAATGAATCTAATTTATATATCCCTGAATTAATATTCACATTAAAATCAATATTTTTTTTATATGAAACTTGATTCGATTATATTTCTCTCAACTATGGACCGGCTTGATACAATTTTCTCGGCTTTTTGAAAATCAATTGGGTGATTAAAAATTTCTCACGTGAATAAACAGAGCATTAGACTCTTGTCCAGTTCTGATGCTATATTTATATTGTCTTCAATTCTCTTCCCAGTTTGTCAATAATAAACTTTATCGCATTTTTTACAGGGAATCTTATGGACACATCCATCAGTATTTTGGAGAAAATTCTTAATCAGATATTTTTTTTACTGTATCAAGATTTTTAAATACAACTTTGCTTTTAATTTTTTTAAGCAGAGTATGTACATCAAGAAGGTTTTCATGGTATGGAAAAATCATCATACGCTTTTTTGAATATGCTTGTTTTCCCTTTCCGAATTTTAAAAATATTAAAAACTGTTAAACAGGTGTTTAATAGTATATCACAGAAGTGGTGTTCCTGAAGCCTGATAGTTTACACACCTGCAAGATGAGTCCAGATGTGTTTAAATTAAATATGTAACGCAGTTGTTTGCAACCTTAAAGTTGACAGCGTCTACCGTCCAGGTGTGTTTAAAAGACCACACGCTGTATAGCAAATTTTAGTCAGAATTTGAAATTGCCCTATTAGTGGAACACCGTAAGGAAACGCCGTAAGGCAAAACGCCGTAAAGCGGGGTCCTACTGTGCTCTGTCCATGATACTCCAGAATTATTTTGAACAATGACTCAGCTAGTCAGGTAATAATTATTTTGTTATTATTTACACAAATAACTCGCACATAAAAGAAACTTACGTCGACACTTCGGTCAGACTTGGTCCAAGACTGACTGAAACGTCAAAAGTTTCTCTATGCTCATGTTATTTGTGTATTGTTCCAGTCACGGTATTGTGCCTATTTTTTCTGTTAATATTTAATTATGCAACCAGCACTACTATGTAAAAATGTATATGTGAAAACGTATATGTGGGACGGCGGCGTGGCACCTACGCCGGAAAGTAGAATGTATTAGAGTAGAAAGAAGTAACAGCAATACCAATAATATTGATTAGTAGTTTAAGCAAGATTATGAGGCTCGTAGCATTTTACAAACCAAGCAACATTTGCAGGAATTACATTACGATAGTGCGTTAAGAATGTGAAAGACTCTATATCGCCATTTGCTTGTCATATGTGTGCACTGAAATATAATCTCCTCATAGCGATATGATCACTCACTGGATCAATGGGGCTGCCTAACAAAAGTCCCTTCGGCAAAAAATGTATATCCTTTAAAATCTACTGGGTTTACCAGGAGTCAGACGAGAATAATGCTTCGTAGACCTTAAACAGCGCAAGCTTAACAATCCCTCATATCATTTATCATTCTATATTACAGGAGTAGCCACTCGTTAGTCTCTAAATATTTCACTCATATCACCAAAGCTTTTAGTCAAATACCTACATTTCGCCTACTGCAAATAACTCATTTACACCGTACCTTCTTTAATCAACATCAGTGTACATCTGTAAAGCAGAACAGACGTCTTTGCAATGTTCTTGTGACTGAATTCATTTATTGCTACCGTTACTGAGTCCATTGCTCTTGCAAGCATTTCATTACAATTGTAATTTTCTGCAAGATGTGGTCCAGTTCCTGGACGCATTATTGCTTCTGAAATATTTTGGCTGGCCCACAGGATGGGTACGAGATGACTCCTGCCCACAGGATGGTTACGGGGTGACTATCGCCCACAGGATGATTATTGTGTGACTATCGCCCACAGGATGGTTATGGGGTGACTATCTCCCACAGGATGTTTATGGAGTTCACAATAAAACTATCAAACTATGAACGTAATCTTAAGTTTGTTCTTAGGTTCGAGGCGTGGAAGACGTGTCTGGGCGTGCTAGGGATCCCCTTCCTGGACGTGGTGAGAGTCCTAGCTGCCGTCCTCCTGCTGGGTAACGTCACCTTCATCGAAGGCCAGGGACTAGAGGTTGACATTCAGGGCGGCAGCCACGAACTCAAGGTACCTCTTCGTAATCTTGCGATAATCAACTTCATTTCCTCCAGATGTTAGAAGCTGAAATACCTACTGTTATACATCAATTTGATCATCAATATTGACGTTTTTAACGTTATTGTACTGTAAGATGATGCATGCTGACGCACATCCCTAGACGTTGTGTTAGTGGTTTTGATTGCGTGTACTGTGTTGGTCAGAGCGTATCGGCGCTGTTGGGGGTGTCTTCTGCGTCGCTCTACCGAGGTCTCACAACACGTACTCACAACGTCCGCGGCCAGCTCGTCAAGTCTATGTGTGATGCTAATATGGTTAGTGATGCTTCTCTTACCATTATATCTGTGTGAATATCTCTCTCTCTCTCTCTCTCTCTCTCTCTCTCTCTCTCTCTCTCTCTCTCTCTCTCTCTCTCTCTCTCTTCATTTTTCCAGTGTTAGACTCCTGTCTCCTCCGTGATGGAGGACAAATGGAGAAAGGTGCAATAAATATTTAAGGACGAGAAACTTTTATAAGTTTGATATAATGGTTAAAGGGCAAGAATGAATTCTGAAGAACTAGAGGTAGAAACAGGTGTGTTTTAAAATGGGTCTAGAACGCAGCCTGTCTGCCAGCGTAGTGTCAGTCTTGTGCTGGACGAGTCACTTGGGTCCAGTACTTCATACAAATATTAATATTCACTCATCTTTCCCATCTAGCTGGAGGAACCTGCAATGTCTTCATCTCGTTTACTCTCCTGAAGTTTATTTTGTATAGCAATGCTTTTATATACCGAGAGATACTATATTTATAAGACAATGCGTATATAGTTCATGGCATTTTATGCAAAAATACATGTATATATTTTATTAACATGTTTATTTTGTTTATCAGTTATCTGCTACTTCTTACTTCTCTCTACCTTCACTGAAAGAAGAATTGATAAAGGGTTCATGATCTAAGGAATTGAAACTAATTGCCATCCATTTCCCAGGCCCGGTATGACTCTTACGATTTAATGCTTCCCCCTTCACCCACGAATGTAATATTAAGATTACATAACGTTTAGTAAAACGTGTTTCCTTTTGTGACAAATGTTAACAAAGTTGTACGTTAACTTTATCTCCTCAGTCCAACATGACCCGAGACGCCCTGGCAAAGGCTCTCTACTGCCGCACCGTCGCTACCATTGTTCGGCGTGCCAACTCACTCAAGCGACTTGGCTCTACCTCAGGCACCCTCTCCTCCGACAGGTGAGTCTGCTCACTACCTCAGGCACCCTCTCCTCCGACAGGTGAGTCTGCTCACTACCTCAGGCACCCTCTCCTCCGACAGGTGAGTCTGCTCACTACCTCAGGCACCCTCTCCTCCGACAGGTGAGTCTGCTCACTACCTCAGGCACCCTCTCCTTCGACAGGCGAGTCTACTCACTACCTCAGACACCCTCTCCTTTGACAAGTAAGTTTATTACCTACCTCAGGCATCCTTTCCTCCGAAAAGCAAGGCTGCTTAGATTTCCTCTCCTCCTACAGATTAGTTTTCTGCCTTACACGCTGTTTTCTCGACCACAGAGCATCGTGCGCTCGTTGCTGTGCTTGCAAATTTTGAAAAATTAGTGGACTTAGAGGTTTGAAAAAGGCAATAATAAAACTCATAGTGCATAAGGTCAGTTTCCGCCAGGAAGTCATGGAATAAGTATGTTCTTCAGGTGGGACTTGCGAGCGAGGAAGTGCATGTGGGTGTAGTAGCTGTCGAGAGTGAATTATGTCTGCTAGTTGAAAAATTGGGACGGCTTAGTAAGATAGGTTAATTGGCAGAGTTACCTGGAAGGGTCGCAAACAGCGGCTATGAGGAGGATGCCATGAATAAAACCTTTTAGATAGTGTGAATCCCAAAATGATCATTCCTGGTGACAACGGTCATGCGAGATATGTTGTTTTTGATGATATAGGTGGTAAACTACAGGCCCAGACTGAAGGCGTCTATTTCTGTGGCGGAAAGTGTGTTAGAACACAGATTGTTTAGGATTTCTGTGCATACCACGCTTTCTTGCTTTGCCGTAGTAACTGAACAGTAACAGTGGTAGTCTGGCTAAGAATAAATTCCGGAGTGCGTCTGTCAGGAGTGGGGAATGAAACACGGGAGTTGAGCAGCACTTACCGAAGTCTCCTGAGAGAATAACAAAAAAGGCACAATACCGTGACTGGAACGATACACAAATAATCCGCACATAGAAGAGAGGAGCTTACGATGACGTGTGACTTTGTAAATGGTCCAAGTCGGACCGAAACGTCGTCGTAAGCTTCTCTCTTCTATGTGCAGGTTATTTGTGTGTCTCCTGAGAGCTCTACAGTTCATCGAGTATTGAGTTGCTGCGGAGGTACTCTTCCAAGAAGGCACGTGAATTGCGATGACTTTTAGCCTTGTGTAGAAGAGACAGGTACTTTCTGCAAGCCACGTCCACAGTGTGTTGCAGTTTAAGACAATAAGATGTGAACCGTGGGAATGACTACCGGAAAGTGGTTTATTGAAAAAAAAGACAGAAAAGCAAAGTCTAGGACATACTAAGATGTTGCTCCGTTTCCTGTTACATTGATCACTTCTGCGATACAGTTTTGCATATAGACAAAAAGTAAGATATAAGAGTAAGGTTATGGCCTGGCGACAGTTACATGATATGAATGAAGTTTGAGATGACCTAAGGTGACCTGTGAGGTCACATGATGGTTGTGTCATGCGGTGGGCGGAGCTTAATAAACATGTCCAAGTGTTTGTTTACGTGTCTGTTACCAAAATTTATACCATAGTAATCAGATACTGCAACAAGATTGTCAATAGTTAAGAAAAACAAGTTGATGATTAAAACATATGTGCAATAGATGGGTATCTTTACTGTTGAAAAGTTTCGCCTAGGCGTTAGGCTTCATCAGTCAAATACAAAGGAGAATGTATTATAGGCAGCAGGACAGCAACGTAAAGGCGATGTAATCAGTCCATCAACCCGCTGCATATGTGTCTTAATTATCAACTAATTTTAACATAAGAAAACAAGGTATGTCTGAGGACTCTACCTTACAGTGCTCCTCCTTCTTGCACAAAGTCACGAGAAAAGTTATTAAATCGGAAACTAAATCGGTTCCTTAATAGAAAATGTTTGAGAAAAGCGGTTGTTTGCCTCGTGATGCCAGGCGGTGTCGTAAGCTTGTTTCAACACATAAAAAACTCTGTAATTATCGAATGGTTAGCCACGAAGGCGTTTTGAATGTATGTATGGAGACGTAATATGGAGTCGATGATAGACAGCCTTTTTTAAAATAAAATGATGAGGGGGGAGAGTTCTGAGTCTGTGAGTGTTAAAACTCACCTGAAAACTGTCAAAAATAATAGTAAAATAAAGACTGAAATCAACTCAAGTGATCATACACTAAGAAACACACACACAACAACACAACACACACACACCACACACACACACACACACACACACACACACACCACACACACACACACACACAACCACAACACACACACCCACCCCAAAAAACACACAACACAGGATTTCACACCTGAGAACTGACCCTCTAAACCTCCCTCCCTCTCTCTCTCTCCCTCTCTCACTACCTTTACCTCCCTCTCTACATATCTCCTCTCTTACATCTTTCTCTCTACCTATCTCTCTCTCTACCTACTCCTCATCTATATCTCTCTCTACCTATCTCTCTCTACATATCTCTCTCTCCCCTCTCCCTCTCTCCCCTCTAACATCTCTTCCCTCTAAACACCTCCCCCCTCTAACATTTCTCCCCCTCTGACATCTCTCCCTCTCATTATCTCTCCCCTCTCCCTTTTCCCATCTCTCTCCCCTCCTCCTCTCTCTCTCCCCGTATCCTCTCTCTCCCTCTCTCTCTTCCATCTCCCCCCTCTCCCCCCTTCTCCCCATCTCTCCCCCTCTCTCTCCCCCTCTCTCCCCCTCTCTCTCCCCTCTCTCTTCCCCTCTCTCCCCCTCTCTCTTCCCCTCTCTCTCCCTCCTTCTCTCTCTTCCCCTCTTCTCTCTCTCCTCTCTTTGCCTCTCTCTCCCTCCCCTTCTCCTCTCTCTATCTCTTTCACTCTCTCTCTCTTCCCCTTTCCCTTCTCCCCCTCTCTCCTTCTACCTTTCCCTTCTCTCTCTCTCCCCCTCTCTCCTACCTTTCCCTCTCTCTCTCTCCCCCTCTCTCTCTCCCCCTTTTTCCTTCTCACTCTCACCCTCTCTCTCTCCTACTTTTCCCTTTTTTTTTCTCTCTCTCTCTTCCCCATTTTCCCTACTCACTCTCCCCCTCTCCTACCCTTCCTTCTCTATCTTTCCCCCTCTCTCCCACTCTCACCCCCCTTTCCCTTCTCACTCTCCCTCTCTCTCTGTTCTCTCTCTCCTTCTACCTTTCCCTTCTCTCTCTCTCTCTCTCTCTCCTCTCTCTCTTCCCCATTTTCCCTTCTCACTCTCCCCTCTCCTACCCTTCCCTTCTCTCTCTTTCCCCCCTCTCTCCCACCCTCTCTCTCCCCCTTTCCCTTCCACTCCCTTCTACTTCCCTCTCTCTCTCTCTCCTTCTACATTCCCTTCTCTCTCTCTCTCCTCTCTCTCTCTCTCTCTCTCTCTCTCTCTCTCTCCTCTCTCTCTCTCTCTCTCTCTCTCTCTCTCTCTCTTTCTCTCACTAAAAAAATGGTGGGGACTCGCAGTAACCAGGGATCAGATGAGAATGGTTCTGGTAGGGAGGAGTGGATGGAGGAGCAGTGGAAAAGGATGGAACGAGAGTGAGAGAATAAATTAGGAGAGCTTTCTGAAAAAATGGAGAAAGAGCTCTCTGTGAAATTGGAAAAGAGGTTGGAGAAGGAGACGAAGAATTGGGAGGCACAAGTCGAAACTGCAGTAGCCAGGATAAGGGTCCTAGAAGTTGAGATAAACAGGCAGAAGTGAGTTACAGGGGCAGTGACCAGAGAAGACACAGCATATGAAGCTGAGAGGCCAAACAGGAAGGAAGGAGATATGAATTATGCTAAGGTCATGTCAGCCTGCCAAGAAGGGCCAAGGAGTGAAAGGGAAGAGCAGCTGGGTGCAGATGGAGAGGGTGATAGGTCGAATGCTGAGGCACAACCATGCTACCAAGAGCACTGGAAAAATCAAGGGAGAAAATGACCACATACAGACAGGATCCAGAGTCACAGAGGGAGAGGCAATGGGAAGAGGAAAGGGCAAAATCAGTGTTTATCCATGGGCTTCAGGAGAAACAGGATAGGACACATACTGAAAGACGGCAGGAAGAAAGAAAGGAAATTGAGAAAATCATCACAAGATTGTAAATTTTCAGAGAATAGGGGGGTACTTGATGGGGAGAAACTGACCGATCAAGCTGATTCTCAGGACAGAAACAGTGTGGAACAGGATCCTCCAAGAGAAACCACGGTTGAAATACTCGGAAGAGTACAAGAGGGTGTTCCTAGACAGAGACAGAACACAAACAGAATGACAGCAGCTGAGGGAAAGGACAAAAAAGCGAAAGGAGCTAGGAAAGGAGACAAGGATGGAACCAGCAGAGGTCAGTCAGAGCAGAATAGAGCAGCAAGGGCAAGCACACACACACAACTATCCTCAGAACCCCACAACCTATCACACCATCCCAACACACACTACAATCCATACCCACAGCTTCCACCCAACACCCAGCTATAGAATCCCACAGTATGCTACCAGGTCTCCCACCCTCACAGGCCCCCAAACCACAGTATTGGAAAGGAAACTGAAGGTATGGTACACAAACGCTGATGGAATAACAAATAAGTGGGAGGAGTGGCATGAAAGAGTCAAAGAGGCATCACCAGACATCATAGCTCTCACAGAAACCAAGCTTACAGGTATGATAACAGATGCCATCTTTCCAACAGGATACCAGATCCTGAGGAAAGACAGAGGGAACAGGGGGGTGGAGGAGGGGCATTGCTGATCAAAAACCGATGGAATTTTGATGAGCTGGAGAGAGGAAACAGCGGAGAAGAAAGTGATTACATAGCGGGAATGCTTCACTCTGGAGGTCCCAAGGTGGTAATTGCAGTGATGTATAACCCACCACAGAACAGCAGGAGGCCAAGGCAAGAGTATGACGAGAGCAAAGAGCGAAGGTTGACACACTGGCTGCAGTGGCCAGAAGAGCTTATGCATGCAGGGCAAAGCTCCTGATCATGGGTGACTTTAACCACAAGGAGATCAATTGGGAGAACTTGGAGCCACATGGGGGCCAAGATACATGGAGGGCTAAGATAATAGAGGTGGTACTGGAAAACTTCATGTACCAACACGTAAGGGACACTACAAGAGAGAGAGAGAGGAGAGGATGAACCAGCAAGACTGGACTTAGTATTCACCTTGAGTAGTGCAGATATTGAGGACATCACATATGAAAGACCCCTTGGGGCCAGCGATCATGTGGTTTTAAGCTTCGAATACACAGTAGAGCTACAAGTGGAGGGGGAAGCAGGAAGGCCAGGACGATTGAAGCCAAACTACAAGAAAGGGGGCTACACGGGAATGAGGAACTTCCTGAATGGGGTTCAGTGGGACAGAGAACTGGCAGGGAAGCCAGTTAATGAGATGATGGAATATGTAGCAACAGTGTGCAAGGAGGCTGAGGAGAGGTTTGTACCCAAGAGTAACAGGAATAATGAAAAAGCCAGGATGAGCCCATGGTTCACCCAAAGGTGCAGGGAGGCAAAAACCAAGTGTGCTAGGGAATGGAAGAAATATAGAAGGCAAAGGATCCAGGAGAATAAGGAGAGCAGTTGTAGAGCCAGAAACGAATATGCACAGATAAGAAGGGAGGCCCAACGACAATATGAAAACGACATAGCAGCAAAAGCCAAATCTGACCAGAAGCTGTTATACAGCCACATCAGGAGAAAAACAACAGTCAAGGACCAGGTAATCAGGCTAAGGAAGGAAGGAGGAGAGACAACAAGAAATAACTGTGAAGTATGTGAGGAACTCAACAAGAGATTCAAAGAAGTGTTCACAGAGGAGACAGAAGGGGCTCCAGAAAGACGGAGAGGTGGGGCATACCACCAAGTGCTGGACACAGTACACACAACCGCGGAAGAAGTGAAGAGGCTTCTGAGTGAGCTAGATACCTCAAAGGCAATGGGGCCGGATAACATCTCCCCATGGGTCCTGAGAGAGGAAGCAGAGGCGCTATGTGTACCCCTAACAACAATACTCAATACATCTATCGAAACAGGGAGATTGCCTGAGGCATGGAAGACAGCAAATGCAGTCCCAGTCTTTAAAAAGGGAGACAGACATGAAGCACTAAACTACAGACCAGTGTCACTGACATGTATAGTATGCAAAGTCATGGAGAAGATTATCAGAAGAGTGATGGAACACCTAGAAAGGAATGATCTCATCAACAGCAGCCAACATGGTTTCAGGGACGGGAAATCCTGTGTCACAAACCTACTGGAGTTCTATGACATGGTGATAGCAGTAAGACAAGAGAGAGAAGGGTGGGTGGATTGTATTTTCTTGGACTGCAAGAAGGCATTTGACACAGTTCCACACAAGAGATTAGTGCAAAAACTGGAGGACCAAGCAGGGATACCAGGGAAGGCACTACAATGGATCAGGGAATACTTGTCAGGAAGACAGTAGCGAGTCATGGTACGTGGCGAGGTGTCAGAGTGGGTACCTGTAACCAGCGGGGTCCCACATGGGTCAGTCCTAGGACCAGTGCTGTTTCTGGTATTTGTGAACGACATGACGGAAGGAATAGACTCCGAGGTGTCCCTGTTTGCAGATGACGTGAAGCTGATGAGAAGAATTCATTCGATCGAAGACCAGGCAGAACTACAAAGGGATCTGGACAGGCTGCAGACCTGGTCCAGCAATTGGCTCCTGGAGTTCAAACCCACCAAGTGCAAAGTCATGAAGATTGGGGAATGGCAAAGAAGACCGCAGACGGAGTACAGTCTAGGGGCCAGATACTACAAACCTCATTCAAGGAAAAAGATCTTGGGGTGAGTGTAACACCAGGCACATCTCCTGAAGCGCACATCAACCAAATAAGTGCTGCAGCATATGGGCGCCTAGCAAACCTCAGAACAGCATTCCGACATATTAATAAGGAATCGTTCAGGACCCTGTACACCGTGTATGTTAGGCCCATATTGGAGTATGCGGCACCAGTTTGGAACCCACACATAGCCAAGCACGTAAAGAAACTAGAGAAAGTGCAAAGGTTTGCAACAAGACTAGTCCCAGAGCTAAGAGGTATGTCCTACGAGGAGAGGTTAAGGGAAATCAACCTGACGACACTGGAGGACAGGAGAGATCGGGGGGACATGATAACCACATACAAAATACTGAGAGGAATTGACACAGTAACAAGGGGACACAGTTGGAAGTTGAAGACACAGATGAATCACAGGGATGTTAGGAATATTTCTTCAGCCACAAAGTAGTCAGGAAGTGGAACAGTTTGGGAAGCGATGTAGTGGAGGCAGGATCCATACATAGCTTTAAGCAGAGGTATGATAAAGCTCACGGTTCAGGGAGAGTGACCTAGTAGCGACCAGTGAAGAGGCGGGGCCAGGAGGTTGGACTCGACCCCTGCAACCTCAACTAGGTGAGTACACACACATAAACCCGGTAATATTTACTGCAAGTAGACAGTAAATGGAATATACTATGTATTTCTGTCTATATAATCTTTAAAAGCTAAACTTCATCTTTCTTTTAGGAAATATTGTCGATAACTTACAGGTGAATTTCAACCTTATTAACCAGGTGGATTTCAGCCTTATTAACCAGGTGTAGCGAAAGGCAATAGATAGATTTAACAAAGTAACTTACGATAAGACGGTTTGGTAAGTGTTTCTTGTGTTGCAGCAATGAGAGCGTCCACCACCAGGCGGAGGTGGCGTCCCAACACGCGTCCACGGTGGGCACCGCCGGCTCCAAGGCATCAAAGTCAATGAGCGTCCTTAATAATGCTGTCAAGCACGCCACGGACGGCTTCATCGGCATCCTTGATATGTTTGGATTCGAGGATCCCAAGGTAAGTTTCCCTTGATTGTGGAGAATCTGTGGTAGGTTCCTCTGTGATTGTGGGGGGACCTGGTAGGTTCCTCTGTGATTGTGGGGGACCTGGTAGATTCCTCTGTGATTGTGGGGGGACCTGGTAGATTCCTCTCTGATTGTGGGGGGACCTGGTAGGCCCCTCTGTGATTGTGGGGGGACCTGGTAGGTTCCTCTGTGATTGTGGGGTGACCTGGTAGGTTCCTCTCTGATTGTGGGGGGACCTGGTAGGTTCCTCTGTGATTGTGGGGAGACCTGGTAGGTTCCTCTGTGATTGTGGGGGACCTGGTAGGTTCCTCTCTGATTGTGGGGGGACCTGGTAGGACCCTCTGTGATTGTGGGGAGACCTGGTAGGTTCCTCTGTGATTGTGGGGGGACCTGGTAGGTTCCTCTGTGATTGTGGGGGTACCTGGTAGGTTCCTCTGTGATTGTGGGGGACTTGGTAGGTTCCTCTGTGATTGTGGGGGACCTGGTAGGTTCCTCTGTGATTGTGGGGGACCTGGTAGGTTCCTCTGTGATTGTGGGGGACCTGGTAGATTCCTCTGTGATTGTGGGGGGACCTGGTAGATTCCTCTCTGATTGTGGGGGGACCTGGTAGGCCCCTCTGTGATTGTGGGGGACCTGGTAGGTTCCTCTGTGATTTTGGGGTGACCTGGTAGGTTCCTCTCTGATTGTGGGGGGACCTGGTAGGTTCCTCTGTGATTGTGGGGGGACCTGGTAGGTTCCTCTGTGATTGTGGAGGGACCTGGTAGGTTCCTCTGTGATTGTGGGGGGACCTGGTAGGTTCCTCTGTGATTGTGGGGGACTTGGTAGGTTCCTCTGTGATTATGGGGGGACCTGGTAGGCTCCTCTATGATTGTGGGAGACCTGGTAGGTTCCTCTGTGATTGTGGGGGGACCTGGTAGGTTCCTCTGTGATTGTGGGGGACCTGGTAGGTTTCTCTGTGATTGTGGGGGGACCTGGTAGGTTCCTCTGTGATTGTGGGGGACCTGGTAGGTTCCTCTGTGATTGTGGGGGACCTGGTAGGTTCCTCTGTGATTGTGGGGGACCTGGTAGGTTCCTCTGTGATTGTGGGGGACCTGGTAGGTTCCTCTGTGATTGTGGGGGGACCTGGTAGGTTCCTCAGTGGTTATGGATGACCTGGTAGGCTCCTCAGTGGTTATGGATGACCTGGTAGGCTCCTCAGTGGTTATCGGTGACCTGGTAGGCTCCTCGGTGATTATGGGTGACCTGGTAGGCTCCTCAGTGGTTATGGATGACCTGGTAGGCTCCTCAGTGGTTATAGGTGACCTGGTAGGCTCCTCATTGTCTGAAAAACAGACATATAAGTGAGTGTAAATAGGAAGCACGTCTCTCTCGCCTCCACCAGGTCTTGCACTGAATAATCCACATGGGTTTAGCATTGAACATGAATTAAACAAAACAAAAAGTTGAAGACCAGATCGACAACTTAAGCAAGAGTCTGTGTGTACTCGCGGGAGTAGAACTCTGAGGCAGTACCTTTTTTGTGAGGCTCAGTGTGAGTTGTTGTATTTCTTAGAGTCCACCAGCGCCATAGTTAACTCAGTCTACGAATTCATAACAACATCCCAGACTGTTGTCTAGTGAAGTCCCGTAGAAAGGAGATAAAGTGAGAAATTTTCCAGCACTGCAAACGAAACCATTTGTCGTGTATATTGCTCTGAAACAGGTAAAAACAGGAACCTGGGTCAGGAAAATAGTCTCAGACATCTTATACCTTGCTATAAAAATAGGGCTTAATTTTTAAAGGCTGTCACATAGGCCTCCAAGAACATGATAAAATGGATTTGAAAGCTGAAAATTAATTTGAATTGTCTAAAATAAACTGAAAAATATGCGTCAAAAAAATATATTTCAAGTGAATTTGAAAAAATAGAAGCGAACAGACAGGAAAGCGGAGTTTTTGACCATGACACGAAATAGGTGAAGCTAAACATTATAGAGAAAGTAAGAGAATCTGTTGATTCAAGTTGTCATTACTAGACTTAGGATATAAGTAACTCTGGCATGACAGTTTGTGTATAAGTCTCGTCCCAGTCCCCCTCCCCGACACACACTACAATAAGTGGTCTCAGATTGCACAAACAATCCTCCCTTCAAAAATAGCTTCAAAACGCCCTGCAGGAAATGGTCAAATTCCTGCTATTCGGCGAGAATATAGTTAATGAAATGATTCATATGTGAAATAAACAGAGATACAACTGTTTTCCAAGTGGTATTTGTGAAGTATCTATACAGCCCTTCCTCCATCCCTCTCCTCACTTCCCTTCCCCAACACCTGCGTCAGGAAACACTCGTCCTGGTTCCTGATAAGCCTTACCTAACCTAACCTGTGTCCTGCAGCTTTTCTGCGGAAACTGGAAATATTAAAGCAGTTGTTTTTTTTTTTATATGGAGTTGGTCGGCGGCTTCTGCTGCGACAGCATGAAGCTTGGTGTCACTCGTGGCTCGTATATGGTTATTAACAGACTTCTTCATCTTTCTGTCTCAGTGAGAGACGGCCGGTGCGTTAAAAAATAAGAATCGTAATGTGACCAGTTACTAAATGACACCGATGCTCACTAAGGAGGAGCCCGTTATCTTCGTCCTGATAGCAGGTCATAGCGGATCCAGGACCACTGTTTACATGGACCCCAATGGAAATAAGTCACTCTGTCTGACTTTTTTGGGTTATCCCAGGTTCTCTACACATATGCTGCTATGTATGATAATTCTATGTAACTGTATTTGTGTATACCTGAATAAACTTACTTATGGACTCTCAGACTGCTCTGGGAACCCTGGTACAATATACTTCAGTACAGCCAGTGGCTCTGAAGATACAGGATTGGCTCTCCCATACCCATGCCTTACATAAGACCGTCTGTTTCTTTTGTTATGCAGGCAGTGTTAGTGTCCCTGATAATGTGCATGGTAACACTTGATGTGTTTTAATAGAGGCAGCTTCTAACTCTTTATAAATATGTCTTTTTTTTTTATTTATTGTTCTGTGTGAATGCATTCTTTTTAGGAGAATGTATTTTATTTGTTTTAATATTAAAGTGTATGTATAGGTGAGCCTTCATTAGGTTGACGAATTAGACACAAGTGCAACATCTGGGTATCTTTATTTGTTGACGTTTCGCCATCCAGTGGCTTTATCAGTACAATACAAGGACATAATGTGAAGACTGTAGAATTCTATACAAGAGATGAGGCAATCAGTCCCTCAGCCTTGGAGTTGGTGAAGAGCACCTTAGTCTTCAAAACTACGGTGCTCACCGTAGTGAAGATCACTACGAATTGGTAAATATCACTACTGTGGCCTTCACCAGTTCCAAGGCTGAGGGACTGACCACCTTATCTTTTGCATATCATTCTACATTCTTCACTTTATGTACGTGTATTGTATTGATAAAGCCACTGGTTGGCGAAGTGTCTACAGATAAAAGATACCCAGATGTTGCACATGTGTCAAATTCTTCATTTTGTCTGTATTATATATCGTATACAACTTTATTAAGTTACTGACCAGAGTTCTTCAAACTTTGTAACTTCCTGTTTGTACAGCCATCCCACCTGGAACACCTGTGTATCAACCTGTGTGCTGAGACGATGCAACACTTCTACAATACACACATCTTCAAGTCATCAATCGAGTCATGTCGAGAGGAGGGCATCACGTGTGAGGTTGAGGTTGATTACGTAGACAACGTTCCGTGCATCGACCTCATCTCTTCGCTGGTGAGTCTCCGCGTCTACGTCATGATACTACGTGTCATACATCGGTAGTCTGAGCTGATAATCATATAATGTAAAGAATGAATTGTGAGGTCGAAGAATAATGTGCCTTGAGATTACGAAATTCCAAATGTATTTATGACGTAAATATAAGAAAACTGTACAGTCATATTTTTAATATAGATTAGTCCAAGTTGGACCAAACTTCCTCATAAGCGTCTTCATCCTATGTGGTTATTTTTGTATTGTGTATATAGAACTCTCCGTTATTAGGTAAGTCACTCAATTTCCAGAGCTTTAAAATGATCATATAGGGCAGCGTTTTCCTTCCACTAAGAGATGACTGTTGTGTCTCCAGCGTACTGGTCTTCTGAGTATGTTGGACGTGGAGGGGTCGGTCAGAGGCACACCCGAGAGCTATATCCAGAAGGTGAAGATCCAGCACAAAGGCAACATGAGACTATTTGAACCCAAGACCAACCACATCAGGTCGTTTGGCATCCACCACTTTGCAAACAGAGTTATTTATGATGCTTCAGATTTTCTTGGTAAGCAGTGTTTTTTTTTTTTTTTTTTTAGATTCCTTCAAGGGGATGATCCTCTCAAGCTGGTAAAAGGCTGATATGTAAAACACATGTGCAGCAGTTAACCTTATTCCGAAACGTTTCAACTATGTAGTAGGCTTCGTCAGTTGAGTACAGAGGAGGCAGCAGAAGCAGTACAGCCGTGAATACAATGTAATCAGTCCATCACCCTTGAAGACAGTTTTGAGGTGATCATTTCCAATGATGACGGACTAATTACATCGTCTTCACATCTCTAATGTATTGTATACCATTTTCATAGTCACTAGTGAAGGGCTCTTGTTCCAAACAACTGGAGCTATCCTTCTTTGGATCAAGTATGCTTACCTCCCATGTTCTTAGGCGTTGCATGAACTGAAGATTGAAGAATGATAAATGTTGTTTTACAGAGACTTAAGAGGGAGGTCGCAACGCACAGGTGAAGCAGCAGCAGTCAACACACACAGCAAGACACATCCCTGAGCTTCCCTAGCACTCGGGCTGCGGTCCAAAGCTGGGGTGTGGCTCCAAAAGGATCCTGTATTGCTTGTTGCCTTTGGACCTCCTGACATGTCTGCTGCTTTGTAGCTGCCACATCATTCGAGCCCAGTGGAGCGGGGCTTGTGGCAGCCCAAGGTGCCTAGCCCATTCCCCGCCCTCGCGAGCACCGTGAGGGCGGGGAATGGGGCTAGGCCTGAGGACAATTGGTCTCAGACGATGAAGAGGTACTTGTACCTCTTCCCATGGAAGACATTACTCACAGACACTCCCGCGATAGGGACCCAAGGCCGGGTCGCTAACTGGCAAAGACCCGGGTCGGCAGTACCGGGGTATTTAAGAAGAGACTTAAGAAACCAAACCCGTGTGAATCATTCGGTAACAGCAGTGGAGGCTCGACCCTCCTTTCCCCCCAGTAGCAGGGAAAAGAGGGTCGAAACTTAAAAAGTAATACCTGGAGCCAGCACACCTGAGTCGCGGGGTCCCACCTACACCTGGAAAGCACTAGTGGAGTAAAGCGAAAGCGGTAAACCCGTGAGTGTCACTAGATGCCTGGGCATCTTGTGACACTCACGGGAATAGCGCCGTGTGTGTCCGGTCGTGTTGTGTGTTGAGATGCAGCTGACAGCTGAGATGCAGCTGACAGCTGTAGGGAAACGAGGTCTCGACCCGGGAGAGTCCTAACATAAGTGGGAGACCAGTCAAGGTTGACAGCTGTCTGGGAGACCAATCAAGGTTGACAGCTGTCTGGGAGACCAGTCAAGGTTGACAGCTGTCTGGGAGACCAGTCAAGGTTGACAGCTGTCTGGGAGACCAGTCAAGGTTGACAGCTGTCTGGGAGACCAGTCAAGGTTGACAGCTGTCTGGGAGACCAGTCAAGGTTGACAGCTGTCTGGGAGACCAGTCAAGGTTGACAGCTGTCTGGGAGACCAGTCAAGGTTGACAGCTGTCTGGGAGAACAGTCAAGGCTGACAGCTGTCTGGGAGACCAGTCAAGGTTGACAGCTGTCTGGGAGACCAGTCAAGGTTGACAGCTGTCTGGAGAGACCAGTCAAGATTGACAGCTGTCTGGGGAGACCAGTCAAGGTTGACAGCTGTCTGGGAGACCAGTCAAGGTTGACAGCTGTCTGGGAGACCAGTCAAGGTTGACAGCTGTCTGGGAGACCAGTCAAGGTTGACAGCTGTCTGGGAGACCAGTCAAGATTGACAGCTGTCTGGGAGACCAGTCAAGGTTGACAGCTGTCTGGGAGACCAGTCAAGGTTGACAGCTGTCTGGGAGAACAGTCAAGGTTGACAGCTGTCTGGGAGACCAGTCAAGGTTGACAGCTGTCTGGGAGAACAGTCAAGGTTGACAGCTGTCTGGGAGACCAGTCAAGGTTGACAGCTGTCTGGGAGAACAGTCAAGGTTGAAAGCTGTCTGGGAGACCAGTCAAGGTTGACAGCTGTCTGGGAGACCAGTCAAGGTTGACAGCTGTCTGGGAGACCAGTCAAGGTTGACAGCTGTCTGGGAGAACAGTCAAGGCTGACAGCTGTCTGGGAGACCAGTCAAGGTTGACAGCTGTCTGGGAGACCAGTCAAGGTTGACAGCTGTCTGGGAGACCAGTCAAGATTGACAGCTGTCTGGGAGACCAGTCAAGGTTGACAGCTGTCTGGGAGACCAGTCAAGGTTGACAGCTGTCTGGGAGAACAGTCAAGGTTGACAGCTGTCTGGAAGAACAGTCAAGGTTGACAGCTGTCTGGGAGACCAGTCAAGGTTGACAGCTGTCTGGGAGAACAGTCAAGGTTGACAGCTGTTTGGGAGAACAGTCAAGGTTGACAGCTGTCTGGGAGACCAGTCAAGGTTGACAGCTGTCTGGGAGACCAGTCAAGGTTGACAGCTGTCTGGGAGAATAGTCAAGGCTGACAGCTGTCTGGGAGAACAGTCAAGGTTGACAGCTGTCTGGGAGAACAGTCAAGGTTGACAGCTGTCTGGGAGACCAGTCAAGGTTGACAGCTGTCTGGGAGAACAGTCAAGGTTGACAGCTGTCTGGGAGAACAGTCAAGGCTGACAGCTGTCTGGGAGACCAGTCAAGGTTGACAGCTGTCTGGGAGACCAGTCAAGGTTGACAGCTGTCTGGGAGAACAGTCAAGGTTGACAGCTGTCTGGGAGACCAGTCAAGGTTGACAGCTGTCTGGGAGAACAGTCAAGGTTGACAGCTGTCTGGGAGACCAGTCAAGGTTGACAGCTGTCTGGGAGAACAGTCAAGGTTGACAGCTGTCTGGGAGACCAGTCAAGGTTGACAGCTGTCTGGGAGAACAGTCAAGGTTGACAGCTGTCTGGGAGACCAGTCAAGGTTGACAGCTGTCTGGGAGACCAGTCAAGGTTGACAGCTGTCTGGGAGAACAGTCAAGGCTGACAGCTGTCTGGGAGACCAGTCAAGGTTGACAGCTGTCTGGGAGAACAGTCAAGGTTGACAGCTGTCTGGGAGACCAGTCAAGGTTGACAGCTGTCTGGGAGAACAGTCAAGGTTGACAGCTGTCTGGGAGAACAGTCAAGGTTGACAGCTGTCTGGGAGACCAGTCAAGATTGACAGCTGTCTGGGAGAACAGTCAAGGTTGACAGCTGTCTGGGAAACCAGTCAAGGTTGACAGCTGTCTGGGAGACCAGTCAAGGTTGACAGCTGTCTGGGAGAACAGTCAAGGTTGACAGCTGTCTGGGAGAACAGTCAAGGTTGACAGCTGTCTGGGAGAACAGTCAAGGTTGACAGCTGTCTGGGAGACCAGTCAAGATTGACAGCTGTCTGGGAGAACAGTCAAGGTTGACAGCTGTCTGGGAGACCAGTCAAGGTTGACAGCTGCATCAACATTGTGACGGAGGAGAAAAAGGAGTAATTATACATGTAAACACTGTTATTATTATTATTATTATTATTATTATTATTATTATTATTATTATTATTATTATTATCATTATTATTATTATTATTATTATTATTATTATTATTATTATTATTATTATCTTTGTTGTTTATTATTATTATTTTTAATTTCTATTATTATCTTAGAATTTTATTATTATATTTAAGGAGAAATGCTAAACCCGTAAGGGTTTGTAACGTAATCGCTTCTTATTAGATCATAAGTGCAGACGCAGGGCGTAGCGAGCGTTTCTTGTGTCGACAGTGAGACAAGACTCCACCGATATCCCTTCCTTTTATCTTAATTAAGCGGATATTAGGCACATCGTCTGTATGTGACTAGTTGATGATCCTGGTCGGACCGAAACGTCGTCATGAGTTTCTCTCTCCTGCATGCTGGTTGTGTACACACGGAGGCCTGCTCATGAGCCAGGCCGCGGGGGCGTTGACCCCCAGAAATACCTTCCAGGTATACATCAGCTCATAATTTAAGCACTGCTAGATGACAGAAAATGGATAAAAACTCTAACAATTTCTTTATAATAATCTAGAGGAGAAAAAATATGAACACTGGAGTTATTGATATCTCTTCGGCAATGAATTATCTCTGGTAATTTTGCCGGATTTAAAATACATTGCATTACGTTCGTAAATTATTAAATTATCAGGTTACATAACATGAATGATCTACCTCATTATGTACTCTCTTCAAGATCCTGTGTTCACTACAAGTGAATGTTGCTAAGTCCGCAACAATGGACAGTTTTCTAATGGTTATAATTGTAGCCATAATTTTTAAAGGGGTGGACTGGTAAGCCAGTGGAAGGTCTCGGGCAGATGACCAAAACCTCCAACTGTGGGTTATCTCATGACTTATACTCACTTCAGGAAACTTTTGTCCTGTGTTCTGACAAACCTAACCTAGACTAAACTAACCTAACCTAACCTAACCTAACCTAACCTAAACTAACCTAAACTAACCTAACCTAACCTAACCTAAACTAACCTAAACTAACCTAACCTAACCTAACCTAACCTAAACTAACCTAAACTAACCTAAACTAACCTAACCTAACCTAACCTAACCTAAACTAACCTAACCTAACCTAACCTAACCTAACCTAAACTAACCTAAACTAACCTAAACTAACCTAAACTAACCTAAACTAACCTAAACTAACCTAAACTAACCTAACCTAACCTAACCTAAACTAACCTAAACTAACCTAACCTAACCTAACCTAACCTAAACTAACCTAACTAACCTAACCTAACCTAACCTAACCTAACCTAAACTAACCTAACCTAACCTAACCTAACCTAACCTAACCTAACCTAAACTAACCTAAACTAACCTAAACTAACCTAAACTAATGGACAGCATCAGAAAACAGTTTCAGTAATAGTTACATCAGTTTGTGTCAGTTTTTTTTTTTTTTTTGTAATCCCAAGTATAGCCAACACCATGGGGAAAATAAAAGTACAGAAATCTTAATAGTATATATACAAATTGCACGTCCAACATCGAACATTAATGTTAGCTGAAAACCAACAATAAATGACAAGTCCAGAAACTCGTAAGTTTAGAATTTATGGTTGAGTAAAATGATGACGTTCAAACTCTGTAATCGCCTTTGAAAATATTCCACTTATGTCGACAAGGGCCGTCAGAGGCTGTGCTGGCGACAATGATAATAAAGGTTTAGCAAATTCAATAGAGACGGACAGTGTAATAACCTATGTGATATGTCAAGATATCTTATTAATGAAAATATGACACCAGATATATTAAGCAAATTTCCTATAGATATTAATCCAGATGTCTTCCTGTAAACCCTTTTCAAGCCTGATTCCTAGGCCTTTCATGTATCCATATGGTCTTGCACTACCGTCCACAAGATGTATATGGGGTGCACAATAAACCAGCCGCTTTGGGGGCAAAAATCTAATCTAAATCTACCATCTATGCATAGAAACTAACTCTTTAGAAACAGTGAGACAAAACTCACTGGCCACAGGTATGTGCACACAAGACTAATCAGAACCCAGTAAAAAGAAGGATGTAGAGAATGTGTGTGTATTTAGTAAACTGTTCTGGATGCTGGAAAGACAGAGCTCCTCATAGCATCAAAATCTTTGTCACAAAATGATTCTCGTGTCTGTAAAACCATAAAATGTGTAGAGTGTACCTTTATGGCATTGACCTTGTTAGTTGAGCAAGGAACGTCTGCTTCAGACTCTCAGGGTCAACTTAATGTGTGTGTGTGTGTGTTCAGGCAAAAGAAAGAGCACATTTGGCAGGCGACACAGCATGAGAGATTTGCTTATCATGATGATTCAGGGATCTCCACGTCGGGGAATCTATTATATAAATGGCTGGTGCTACAAACACACGTTTTCTAACAAGCTAAAAATTATGTTCGGTGATGGTGAAGATACGTGATAAAAAAGGACGCGCATTCCTGAGGATTTTATATAATACCAGAAAACAATCCAATACTTAAAATGGCAGTCTTAATTTTTAAACTTATTAAAAAAGTAAGATTTTCTTATTTCATTTTCATAAAAGTCTTAGGCACTAATTATTTTATATTTTAAACTGAATATGTATCAGTAGGTTGATTTTCCATCCACGATCGATACCATGCCTCTCCCTTCTAGGGTAGGGTAGGTGCCTGAGCCCGAGCCTTTAGCTCATAAGACTGTCATTCCCATTAGCCCCCTTGAGGTGGGGATGGCAGACCAGAGAGGCCTAGCTTGTGGCTAGGCCTGGGGACAGTTGGTCCCAAAGATGAGGAGGTACTTGTGCCTCCTCCCATGGGAGACTTAAGTCTCAGACACTCCCTAAAGAGGGAGCCAAGGCCGGGCCACCACTTGGACAAGGCCCGGGCCGGGAGAATACCGGCTAATCTTTACTTAACTTAACTTTCCATCCACGAGGAAGAAAAAAAAAGCTTATGAGGAAAGGAGACGTAAAGAAGTGGAAGAAAGAGGACAGGAAGTGTAAAGTGTTTCTTCTCAACAAGGAGAGTTTATCATCATTATACATGCCATACCCAGTGGCGGCTCGTGACGCCAGTAATACCTACAGTATCATACCACGTCAAGCTTCTATTTTTAATATTTTTTTTATCTCGTTTCAACAAAAAACTTAAAAATTCGCTTATAAATACTTTGAAAACAACATACAACAGATTTTTCCTGTAATATATTTGTCAGTTGCAAATTATTTTAGCGTAAGATTGATGAAGTCATACGTCTGGTAGTGAGCATCTGGGGGGACTGCAGCTCCGCAGCTCCTATGGACGAGCCGCCACTGGCCCATACCCATCCTGTGGGCTTTTGCAACAAGCAGATAGAGGGGTGACAGAGCCCTCAGTAGCCCTGGGCCTCAGTAGCAGCTCGTCACACTGGAGGTTTATTTACAAAAGTTCTTTTGGTAAATTAAAAAAAATGCATTGTTATATTTTTGTGCAATTTTTCATTTCGTGTTTTCCATGTCTTAAATAAAGTGCTTGTCCACTTGATCAAGGGATACAAGTGTGATATAGGACTACGACCAAAAATATGAAAAAAATTGTATTTACAGTGCTGTCTAACAGAGTCGCAGACAAGAGAATATCTGTGTGAAGCGTGAGATGAAGTTTAAAGTGATAAAAGTTCTGTATAACATTCACATTATTTCCGCTGCACGAAAAATGAAAAAGTGAAAATGAAACAGAAAATAAGACAAGTACTCTGGTTTAAAAAAGACGCGTGAGCAAGCACTAGGACATATCCATTGGAAAACGTTTCGGTCCTGGGACCTTGATCACTACTAACCAAGGTCTAAGGACCGAAACGTCTTAGTATTTGCTCATGTGTCTATTTAAGCCAATTTGTCGGTAACAATTACCACTAGTACTCGGTATTTCGGCCTCACACTCAAGTCCTCTTCATCAGATTTCAACACTCTCACCATCCTGTTTCATTTTAGTCGTGTGGATTGCTGTATTGCATCAGCCTGCGATTATCGCACTTACTGCATTTGGATGAATGCGCGCAAAGTCACCATTAATGCTGACGATAGTTTTTTTTTACATTCCCTCAGACACCAACCGAGATATCATTAGCGACGACCTGGTCTGCGTCTTCCACAAGCAGTCCTGTAACTTCGGCTTCGCGACGCACCTCTTCGGCTCCGAACTGAAGGCGCTCTTCTCTCAGGACCCCGTCCCGCGAGGGGTGTCATTCCGCATAAGTCCCACCTCACACACGGACCTGTGAGTACGCACAGAATGCAAATAATTTATACCTTTTCTGCAGTATACAGGTAATGCAGTTTACATGTAATAAAATATTGGGAGGCACAAGAGAAAGGCCTTCTGTACCCCGTAGTGTATCATATACCCGTATTAAGCTTGTTAGAATTGTGATTATTTTGTAGTTTAACGTTTAACACTTGTATGATTTCATTCAGGAGATTAAGGTATAATTAAAATAATGATGTTACGTTTGTGGGCAGTTTAGGATCCACAAACGATAATATATTATATATATAATATATATATATTATATATATATATATATATATATATATATATATATATTATATATATTTATATATATATATATATATATATATATATATTATTGTAACCACAAACGAGTAGTATTTAATCAATAACAACACTGCGACTAGCCATTAAAAAGGTGGGTATAGATATATTGACTCATATTAACAAACATCTTCCTACTTATCATCCAGCTTCTTTTTCTCTCTCTCCTTGAAGACAAAACGGAGACGAGCCGGTGTCGACGCTGACTCAGGACTTTCACACTCGGCTGGACAACTTGTTACGGACCCTGGTACATGCTAAGCCTCACTTTATCCGCTGCCTCCGCTCAAACTGCTCAGAGAAGCCGGCCTTGTTCGACCGAGCCACGGTCATTAAGCAGATCCGAGCGCTTCAGGTAAGTCAAGTTGAAATTGAACTGAAAGACCTCAGAACATAAGTGACATCCTTACATGCACGATGTGTTGTCTTAGTATTTTTGTTTACAGTCGTCATACTCAGAATAATTAGGCTGGTATGGGCACCAAATTTTCCTAACCTATACACTAACCAAACTTGATATAGCCTAGTTCTTTATATCTAATTAAAGCGTTTTTTATTTAAATTTCAACACTTTTCAGTAGCATACTGTATAGTCCTTGTGGCTTAGCGCTTCTTTTTGATTATAATAATAATAATTCAGTAGCATAACTTCTCACCTGCACTGGTAAAAAATTTTGGCGGTCTTATTATTAAGATAAACCTTCGTCACGAAAAAAATCTCAAATATTTCATACGAACTATATTTTTCATTAAAAATTCGAATTGTAAATAGTTGAAAAACTACTCTTGGGAATAATAATTATTATTATTCGTAATAGTAATAGTAGTATATTGTTATATTTATAAAGTGTTAAATTGGTATTGGTAATCAGTGGAAGGACTAGTGGAGGATAGATACCATGTTCACTGTACCTCAGGACATTGTTCAGCGATCCATAAAAAGTCGTCGTGTCAGAAAAAAGTTGACAGTGTTTGCTCTGGTTGTCCCTCATAGGTGCTGGAGACGGTCAACTTGATGGCTGGAGGTTACCCTCATCGCATGCGCTTTAAGACCTTCAACATGCGCTACCGGTTGCTGGTGCCCTTCAAGAAACTGAGGCGAGTGGAGGACAAGACTGTGGACGACTGTAAGCTCATCCTCGAGTACTTTGTGAGATCACTGGAGGACATAAACAAGTCCTCCACAGTGGCCATCCAGTGGGCTCTTGGGAAGCGACATATATTTCTCAGGTAAACAAAAGGACCCTTTGCCTATTTCAGCTATTTTTCTGTTTTATTTAAGTGATCATAAGGCCAGTAAGAGTGGGGAGAGGATTAATCTGTGGTAGAGAGATAAAAGAAGAAAAAAGAATTGGGGATATACAGTACAAGATAAATGATGAAAAACTAATCTCTTCAGCAAATTGGTGTTTCCATCTCAATTTTTTTTTTTTTAGCTACATAACGACGAGAGAAAACCATTAACTGATTACTGTTATTTTTCAACTTAGCCAGAAAATCTCCAAAACGAAATGAGATTCACAGTTTATTAAGCATAATGGATTTTGTAAGCAATATATCTTGTAGTGAACACTAGTATCAATACTTGTACGTTGATAAATGAGAGACGTGTGCAACATTTAGGTCTCTCTATTCGGGAAACGTTTCGCCAGCCAGTGGCTTCTTCAGTCCGAAGCAGAGGAGGGTGGAAGATGAAGATGAGTTTGAGGTAATCAGTCCCTCAGCCTGGAGTCGGTGTCTTCAGTCCATCAACCTCCATAAAAGTGCAGCTATATTCGTGGAGATTAAGATTAATACTGATGAGAGATGAGGTGGAGTAGTGGCAGGCGGAGTCAGTCACCACTGGACAAAACTCACTTCACTGGACTGAAGAAGCTACTGGTGGGCGAAACGTTGCCACAATAAAGATACCCAAGTGTTTCACAAGCATCTCATTTATTAATTTGTTGATTTTCTAAACTATTTGTTCATTTCGCTTCCATGGTACTGGTAATTGTACGTCTGCATGGTACTGGTACTTGTACGTCTGCATGGTACTGGTACTTGTACGTCTGCATGGTACTGGTACTTGTACGTCTCCATGGTACCGGTACTTGTACGTCTGCATGGTACTGGTACTTGTACGTCTCCATGGTACTGGTACTTGTACGTCTGCATGGTACCGGTACTTGTACGTCTCCATGGTACTGGTACTTGTACGTCTCCATGGTACTGGTACTCGTACGTCTCCATGGTACCGGTACTTGTACGTCTCCATGGTACTGGTACTTGTACGTCTGCATGGTACTGGTACTTGTACGTCTGCATGGTACTGGTACTTGTACGTCTCCATAGTACCGGTACTTGTACGTCTCCATGGTACTGGTACTTGTACGTCTCCATGTTACCGGTACTTGTACGTCTCCATGGTACCGGTACTTGTACGTCTCCATGGTACTGGTACTTGTACGTCCCCATGGTACTGGTACTTGTACGTCTCCATGGTACTGGTACTTGTACGTCTCCATGGTACTGGTACTTGTACGTCTCCATGGTACCGGTACTTGTACGTCTCATGTACGGTATGTACGTCTGCATGGTACTGTACTTGTACGTCGCATGGTACTGGTACTTGTACGTCTGCATGGTACTGGTACTTGTACGTCTCCATGGTACTGGTACTTGTACGTCTCCATGGTACTGGTACTTGTACGTCTGCATGGTACCGGTACTTGTACGTCTGCATGGTACTGGTACTTGTACGTCTCCATGGTACTGGTACTTGTACGTCTCCATGGTACTGGTACTTGTACGTCTCCATGGTACCGGTACTTGTACGTCTCCATGGCACTGGTAATTGTACGTCTCCATGGTACTGGTACTTGTACGTCTCCATGGTACTGGTACTTGTACGTCTGCATGGTACTGGTACTTGTACGTCTCCATGGTACTGGTACTTGTACGTCTCCATGGTACTGGTACTTGTACGTCTCCATGGTACTGGTACTTGTACGTCTCCATGGTACCGGTACTTGTACGTCTCCATGGTACTGGTACTTGTACGTCTGCATGGTACTGGTACTTGTACGTCTCCATGGTACTGGTACTTGTACGTCTGCATGGTACTGGTACTTGTACGTCTCCATGGTATTGGTACTTGTATGTCTGCATGGTACTGGTACTTGTACGTCTCCATGGTATGGTACTTGTAGTCTCCATGGTACTGGTACTTGTACGTCTCCATGGTCACCGGTACTTGTACGTCTCCTGGTACTGGTACTTGTACGTCTGCATGGTACTGGTACTTGTACGTCTGCATGGTACTGGTACTTGTACGTCTGCATGGTACTGGTACTTGTACGTCTCCATGGTACCGGTACTTGTACGTCTCCATGGTACTGGTACTTGTACGTCTGCATGGTACTGGTACTTGTACGTCTCCATGGTACTGGTACTTGTACGTCTCCATGGTACGGTACTTGTCGTCTCCATGGTACTGGTACTTGTACGTCTCCATGGTACTGGTACTTGTCGTCTCCATGGTACTGGTACTTGTACGTCTCCATGGTACTGGTACTTGTACGTCTCCATGGTACCGGTACTTGTACGTCTCAATGGTACTGGTACTTGACGTCTGCATGGTACTGGTACTTGTACGTTCCATGGTACGGTATTGATACGTCTCATGGTTACGGTACATGTACGTCTGCATGTACGGTATGCACGTTGTACATGTTACTGGTACTTGTAAGTCTGCATGTACATGTACTTGCACGTCTCATGGTACTGGTACTTGATGCTGCATGTACGTTACTTGTACGCTCCATGGTACTGGACTTGTACGCTCATGGACGGTACTTGTACGTCTGCATGGTACTGGACTTGCACGTCTGCTGGTACTGGTACTTGTACGTCTGTGGTACTGGTACTTGTACGTCTCATGGTACTGGAGTACTTGCTACGTCTCCATGTTTGTACTTGTGACGTCTGCATGGCTAGAAGTACTTGTACGTCTCCATGGTATGGTACTTGACGTTCCATGGTGTGGACTTGTACGTCTGCAGGTACTGGTGATAAAGGTTCAAGGCTGGACTATAGTTCGTCTTGGTAATCTGATATTCTTTTAAATATTTCAATCTGAGAACTTTCCTTTACGTTAAATCCTGAACAGCAAAACTACATCTTGCAGGTAACATCTACTTAAATTTCGTCGGATTTTAACCCCGGAGAGGTAGCGCACCCAGTGATACCCAAGAAAGTCATGCGTCATCGAGGACTGTTACTTATTTCCTTGGGGTCCTTATCTTGTCCAGGATGCGACCCACACCAGTCGACTAACACCCAGGTACCTATTTGCTGCTAGGTGACCACAGGACAAAGGTGTAAGGAAAGTTCGAAATGTTTCACCTGGCTACCGGGAATCGAACCCGGGCCCTCCGTGTGTGAAGCAGGAGCTTTAGCCACCAGGCCACCGGGCCTGCCGAGCAGCCATTCAAGAATACTCTTAATAATATATATATATACATGTACAGTGTAAATATAGGGATTAGCAGTGATATGTACAATGTTACTGAGAGAGAGAGAATGCAATACGCCCACTTTTTCGTGGACAGCGAGGGAGCGAGACAACAGCTGGAGATGCTGAGGATAGAGATGAGACAGCGAGCCGCGACGCTCCTGCAGGCGGTGTGGCGAGGCTGGCACTTCAGACGCAGGTGGCCCACACTCAAGAGGAACCTGGAGCTGAGAGCTCGCTCACGTACCGTCCGCCCACGCCCGCAACCCATCGCCGGCACGCCCCCGCCAGACGTCATGGACCGCTGTGACCAGAAGACCATCCAACAGACCTGTTCGCTGTTTGGTCTGGACCTGGTAATTGAGACCTAGTTTACAAATGTTTACTGAGGTATATCATCACCCCTATTTTGCTACTGTTGTTCCACTATATGTTCTGTTATTAGTATTATTAGTTTACCTGGAGTTTACCTGGAGAGAGTTCCGGGGGTCAACGCCCCCGCGGCCCGGTCTGTGGACCAGGCCTACTACTACTACTAGTAGTAATTATATAAACCCAGGAGCAGGAGGTTCTGTACCGGTGCTCGGTCAGTAGGACATATACCGGTGCTCGGTCAGTAGGACATATACCGGTGCTCGGTCAGTAGGACATATACCGGTGCTCGGTCAGTAGGACATATACCGGTGCTCGGTTAGTAGGACATATACCGGTGCTCGGTTAGTAGGACATATACCGGTGCTCGGTTAGTAGGACATATACCGGTGCTCGGTTAGTAGGACATATACCGGTGCTCGGTCAGTAGGACATATACCGGTGCTCGGTTAGTAGGAACCATACCGGTGCTCGGTCAGTAGGACATATACCGGTGCTCGGTTAGTAGGAACCATACCGGTGCTCGGTCAGTAGGACATATACCGGTGCTCGGTTAGTAGGAACCATACCGGTGCTCGGTCAGTAGGAACATATACCGGTGCTCGGTTAGTAGGAACCTAACCGGTGCTCGGTCAGTAGGAACATATACGGTGCTCGGTTAGTAGGAACCATACCGGTGCTCGGTCAGTAGGAACATACGGTGCTCGGTTAGTAGGAACCTACCGGTGCTCGAGTAGTAGGACATATACCGGTGCTCGGTTAGTAGGAACCATACCCGGGGCTCGGTCAGTAGGGCATATACCGGTGCTCGGTTAGTAGGAACCATACCGGTGCTCGGTCAGTAGGACATATACCGGTGCTCGGTTAGTAGGAACCATACCGGTGCTCGGTCAGTAGGACATATACCGGTGCTCGGTTAGTAGGAACCATACCGGTGCTCGGTCAGTAGGACCTGTACCGGTGCTCGGTTAGTAGGACCTGTACCGGTGCTCGGTTAGTAGGACCTGTACCGGTGCTCGGTCAGTAGGACCTGTACCGGTGCTCGGTTAGTAGGAAACCGTACCGGTGCCTCGTCAGTAGGACCTGTACCGGTGCTCGGTTAGTAGGAAACCGTACCTGTGCTCGGTCAGTAGGACCTGTACCGGTGCTCGGTTAGTAGGAACCGTACCTGTGCTCGGTCAGTAGGACCTGTACCGGTGCTCGGTTAGTAGGAACCGTACCTGTGCTCGGTCAGTAGGACCTGTACCGGTGCTCGGTTAGTAGGAACCGTACCGGTGCTCGGTCAGTAGGACCTGTACCGGTGCTCGGTTAGTAGGAACCGTACCTGTGCTCGGTCAGTAGGACCTGTACCGGTGCTCGGTTAGTAGGAACCGTACCTGTGCTCGGTCAGTAGGACCTGTACCGGTGCTCGGGTTAGTAGGAACCGTACCGTGCTCGGGCAGTAGGACCTGTACCGGTGCTCGTTAGTAGGAACCGTACCGGTGCTCAGTCAGTAGGACATTACCGGTGCTCGGTTAGTAGGAACCGTACCGGTGCTCAGTTAGTAGGACCTGTACCGGTGCTCGGTTAGTAGGAACCGTACCGGTGCTCGGTCAGTAGGACATATACCGGTGCTCGGTTAGTAGGAACCGTACCGGTGCTCGGTCAGTAGGACCTGTACCGGTGCTCGGGTTTGTAGGAACCGTACCGGTGCTCGGTCAGTAGAACTGTACCGGTGCTCGGTTAGTAGGAGCCATACCGGTGCTCGGTCAGTAGGACCTGTACCGGTGCTCGGTTAGTAGGAACCGTACCGGTGCTCGGTTAGTAGGAACCTGTACCGGTGCTCGGTTTTGTAGGACCGTACCGGTGCTCGGTCAGTAGGAACCGTACCGGTGCTCGGTTAGTAGGAACCGTACCGGTGCTCGGTTAGTAGGAACCGTACCGGTGCTCGGTCAGTAGGAACCGTACCGGTGCTCGGTTAGTAGGAACCGTACCGGTGCTCGGTCAGTAGGAACCGTACCGGTGCTCGGTTAGTAGGAACCGTACCGGTGCTCGGTTAGTAGGACCTGTACCGGTGCTCGGTTAATAATACTACTAAAAGTAGAATTTTACCTTTGCCTTGGAGGAGCGTCCGCCACCGGTGCCGCCCAGTAGATCCTACACCATCAGCGGCAACCACAAGATGGGGTACCCTCAGACGCGACTTATGAAGAGGAACTTTCCTGGTGAGTACACACTACATTCCCCTTCAGACACGACTTATGAAGAGGTGAGTACACACTACCTTACCCCCTCCCTCAGACACGACTTATGAAGAGGTGAGTACACACTACCTTACCCCCTCCCTCAGACACGACTTATGAAGAGGTGAGTACACACTACCTTACCCCCTCCCTCAGACACGACTTATGAAGAGGTGAGTACACACTACCTTACCCCCTCCCTCAGACACGACTGATGAAGAGGAACTTCCTGGTGAGTACACACCACCTTTCTCTTACCCCTTCGCTTCTTCTCTTTGTTTCTTTTACTTTGTCACTAAAGTTACATCGTACAAAAAGAGGAAAGAATCCATTGACAGTAGATCTTTTAAAGCTGTACCCACTTCAGTTCACTCGTTTTTTTTTGACAATAATTAATAATAAAATATAATAACTAATAATAATAATAATAATAATAATAATAATAATAATAATAATAATAATAATATAGAATTGTATACATTAGTAATGTTGAAATATTTTTCATGTTTTAAAGGACGTAATGAAATAATCTCTTTAGTGATATTGACTAATAAACTGCCTGTAACGGGTCATTGTATAACTAAGACCAGTCAGGAAATACTTGTCCTGTTTCCGGACGAATAAAAACAACAACAGTCTATTTCAGAAATCATTTCACGGCCACCAGGCTCTCATTGTCTTTAGTTTGCGTTGTTCGTTGTGTGTAAAATCTTAATGTTGTATTGTCTACAGAGGAAGGAGGAAGCGAGATGGTGCTGCTGAAGGGAGAGTCGGTGGTGGTGGTGGGGGCGTCACCACGCCGAGGTCACCTGTTGGTTGAACATCAAGGTCACTCCTTCCATGTACCCTTCCAGTACATGGAACTCAAGCCTTCAGTACAGCCGGGAGTCAACATTTAAACGCCTGTATATTGGAATCGCCAGAAAATCAAGTTCCGCTTGAGCTTGCGACGAGCTGGGAACTAGAGAACCTCCTTCTGAACTGCGTCTACGCGAGACTGAGGTCACACAAGTGTGTGTGTGTACTCCTCTTCGAAGTTTGTATTTACAAGTTGCAAGAGGCGAGAACTCGTATCTCAGAAAGTGCCATGAGTGGCGTGTAGCGCTTCGCACGCCTCAGACTGAGCCATGTGTGGCGTGTAGCACTCCTACGTGCACGGTGGATAACAGTACAGATCACATCCTAAAAACACTAGTGTGCCAAGTGAACTAATCCTTCTTTTCACACAAGACTAAGACGTACATAATACATGAATACTTAATTCATAGCGTGGTGGCTGGAGCCCCATTCTTATAGAATAATAGAAACAAAGAGGACACCCCCATTATTAACTACCTCTGTGGAGGGCACCAATCACCCTCTATGGAAAACACATTCTCCCCTTTATGGAGCAAACTCCCTTCTAATAGAGGACTTCTCCCTCCCTCTGCTGGAGGAAAATTCCTGCTCCTCTTGTGTCCTCTGCCACTCCATGTGCCTCTTATCAGCAGAGCTTAACTGAATAAGGATTTGTCTATGTACATATGTATTTTTATGTGCCAATATTGTTAGGTAATTGTATAAGTGTATTGATATACCTCGTTACTTATGTACGTCGTCGAATACCGTAAAGTAAATATGTTACTACATAATTAAAGATATAAGAGACAGTAACAATTGAAGATAAGGCATTTCGACCCCCTTTTAAGATAAGTCTGTTTGGTGCTACAAGCTCTTAGAACCCCTTTGTGTTGTGTGCTCTCTCTCTGGCTTGTAAATCTCTTTCCCCTCCCCAAGTCATTTTTTGTCTTCCCCTTCCCTATCCCCCTTTCAATACCATTATCCCCTCTCCCCAACCAGATCTATCCTTCCCCCCCCCACATACCCTTCCTTACCCACTCCTCGGTAATATCATCGAATTCACAGTATTATCCCCCTTGTGTTATCTCTGTATCAGACATAAATAACAACATTCTTGTCTGTCTGTACTTTCTAATCTGTGTCACTACGTCACCTTTGTAACCTCGTACCTTCACCTCTCCCATTTTGGTCATCCGTGTCAAAATTATTTTGAACACTGCAATACTTGTCGCCTTTGTTTCAGAGATCATCTCACTACACCCACTTTATTTTAGATCGTGTTCATCATCCGTCATCTCCTGAAACCTGCTTCTCTCCCAACCTTTCACTTTCCTTCCTTAGCGTCCTTATTCCATCCCAGCTTCCTGTTCCACTTCTTACTCCTTCTTACCTTCCACTTCCTTTCCCAGCTTCTTCACTTCCTTATTCCTATTCCATCCCAGCTTCCTGTTCCACTTCTTAGCTTCCTTATTCCATCCCAGCTTCCTGTTCCACTTCTTAGCTTCCTTATTCCATCCCAGCTTCCTGTTCCACTTCTTAGCTTCCTTATTCCATCCCAGCTTTCTGTTCCACTTCTTAGCTTCCTTGTTCCATCCCAGCTTTCTGTTCCACTTCTTAGCTTCCTTGTTCCATCCCAGCTTTCTGTTCCACTTCTTAGCTTCCTTATTCCATCCCA